AGCTTGAGAGTTTGTGCCACACTGTAGCACAGGATGAGAATGCATATCAGAATTTTCATGTACTGGGTATTGCAGGTAATACTTCTCATAAGAATTCATATGTGGTCAGTCTTGTGTGGCACATTTATTATTGTGGAATATTAATGACATCATGTGTTCTGTTCTACCTTCTCAGGAGAAAATCCCCAGATTGAGAAATCTATGGATCCCTCTAAAACTGAACCTCTTTGCGACAATGTGGAATTGAAAAGCAAGGCACGCGATTTAACCTCTGCTTGTTCCTTAAGTTTTATTCATTGTGCATCAGATCCTGCAAAGGTTGTCTTAGATGCATTGCGGAAATGTCGTTCTGCCAACTTGGGGAAGTGTAAATATGGCCCATCATCACTTATGAAGAGGTTCTCTGATTTGTTGGAACATCTGAGAGAAGTTTCTCCAGAAATAACACCTCAGGTTAAAATAGAGGCAGTTGTGCTTGCTGTTGAGTGGAGAGAAACATTGACCGGATCGCAGCTGAATTATTCTGAGGTCCTAGGCTTTTTGCAACTTTTAGCTACTTTTGAATTGTCATCCTCTTATGATTCAGATGAGCTTCTAGGTCTATTGGAGATTGTTTACCGGTCCAGAAGGGCAATTAATCTGTTCAAAATCCTAGGATTAGCAGATAAGATCCCATGTATGTGCTCTCTCTCTCTCTCTTTCTCTCTCTTTCTCATGCATATGCGCATACAGACCAAGTATGATATCAGCTACTGGTTATATGTTGGTTTTCGTTTCAACTTTATTCAGCTCTCTTATGCATTACTATTATATTTTGGTCAACCAGTTCATATTCTTATGGCCTTTTTGGATATGTTGTCTATGGTAAATAGTTTGATCATATTTTGTTCCTTCTCGAAGAGACTTTGGAAGTCTTTCAGTATTTTATAGGATGTAATTTATTTCCATTTCGCCCCAGTGAGGAGTGTGAGAGGTTGACCTTAGTGGATCTGAAGAGAGGTAGAGGTAGGACAAAAAAGCATTGGGGAGAGGTGATTAGGCATGATATGATGTTGCTTTAGCTTACCGAGGACATGAACCTTGATAGGAAGGTGTGAATGTCGAGAATTAAGGTAGAAGGCTGGTAGGTAGTCGAGAGTGTTGCTTTCCCATACCAGTAGTGTTAGTGCTAGTCTTGTATTCTTTTATTGTTAGATTTCTGTTACTACATGATGTTCCTTTCGCTTCGTTTTCTTATTATTTTGTTGTTGTTATTGCTTGTTGCTACTGCTTTATTTTCATCTTTCCTTGAGCCGGAGGTCTATCGAAAATAGCCTCTCTACCTTTTAGGTAGGGATAAGGTCTGCGTACGCTTTACCATCCCCATACCCCACTTGTGGGATTATACTGGATTTTTGTTGTTGTTGTTGTTGTAATTTTTGTCCATTTCATTCTACCTGACACTTAAATTATGTGGGGAGATTATCTTATATGTCATATCATAAACCATTTTGTACTACTGAGTTTTCATGTATATAATATACTTTTATAGGCTTTATCGAAAATCTGATAAGGAGAAAACAATGGCTGCTGGCTATTAGATACATCCATGTATATGAACTTGTTGACTTGTTTCCACCTGTGCCCCTTCTTAAAGACTTCGTGCTATACTCAGAAGAGCTAGCCAAGAAAATACATGATAATGGACTTGGTTCTCGTGAAGCCCAAGTAAGTACTTATCTCTTTTATCTTCTTGAACTATCAAATTTGGTTCTGTGCTCATAACGTACCAAACTTGCTCACAGGAAAAAGCTATAAATTGTGAAATATCTGCATTGAGAGCTGCAGTAAAACGCATAGTGTGGCACAACCTTCAATCAGAATACTCACCTGACCACCTGAAAGCTCATATTGTGAAGCTTCAAAGGCAGATGGCAGAACTAAGGATCCCAAACCAACACTCCGGCTTCATTACTAAGTCTCAAGTTGACGACAGAGATGAAGGAAGTCTATGTGCTCCGATTTCTCAAGTGCAAAAAGCTGTCATGAAAAAACGTCTTGCCTCAGCTACAGAGGGTGTTATTGTACATGAGTCCCAACAACAACAGCGAAAACTTAAGCGTGTTTGCCAGTTACCCGAGCGGACAGAAGTTGGTCCAGATGCCATCATTTGCAATGCTTCTCTATCATCTTCTGTTCAATCATCTTCTCAACCCACATCGCCAGATGGTCAAATTAGTACTGTGCCACCAAACTACTCGGAAAAATTGTTTTCTCAGTGCTTAGAGGTCTGCCCTGAAGATGACCAGATTTATGATTCTGGACAAGCATCTTCCCAACAAATTGGTGATTCACATGCTTATGATGATGCTGAGGTTGAAACTGAAGAGCCGGTTCAGATAAACCCAGTTTATCATTCTGGGCAAAATTTGATGCCAAAACTTCAGGAGCTATTGTGTAAGCTCAAGAATTCTTTGTCCAGCTCAGGGAAGACTGAAGATCATGAGAGGACGTAGGCAGAAGTGAAAAGGGACAAGAAGAGTTAGCTAGCAAATTATTTGATTCTTCTCTGTAAATGGTAGGTAGATACATGTACTATACAAAAAATCAGTAAATAGTCTTAACCAGTGACCTATCTAAGCTTGCTAACTAATGGACCTAACTGTTTCTTCAGTTAAAATGATGTTCTTTTCGCTTTATTTTCTTATTATTTTGTTGTTGTTATTGGTTGTTGCTACTGCTTTCTTTTCATCTTTCCTTGAGCCGGGGGTCTATCGGAAATAGGCTCTCTACCTTTTAGGTAGGGGTAAGGTCTGCATACACTCTACCCTCCCCAAACCCTAGTTGTGGGATTATACTGGATTTTTTTTGTTTGTTGTTGTTGTTGTAATTTTTGTCCATTTCATTCTACCTGACACTTAAATATATGGGGAGATTATCTTATATGTTATATCATAAACCATTTTGTACAACTGAGTTCTCATGTATATAATATACTTTTATAGGCTTTATTGAAAATCTGATGAGAAAACAATGGTTGCTGGCTATTAGATACATCCGTGTATATGAACTTGTTGACCTGTTTCCACATGTGCCCCTTAAAGACTTCGTGCTATACTCAGAAGAGCTAGCCAAGAAAATACATGATAATGGACTTGGTTCTCGTGAAGCCCAAGTAAGTACTTATCTCTTTTATCTTCTTGAACTATCAATTTTGGTTCTGTGCTCATAATGTACCAAACTTGCTCACAGGAAAAAGCTATAAATTGTGAAATCTGCATTGAGAGCTGCATTAAAACGCATAGTGTGGCACTACCTTCAATCAGAATACTCACCTGACCTTCTTAGAGCTCGTATTGTGAAGCTTCAAAGGCAGATGGCAGAACTAAGGATCCCAAACCAACACTCCGGCTTGACTACTAAATCCCAAGTTGACGACAGAGATGAAGGAAATCTATGTGCTCCGATTTCTCAAGTGCAAAAAGCTGTCACGAAAAGACGTCTTGCCTCAGCTACAGAGGTGTTATTGTACATGAGTCTGAACAACAACGGCGAAAACTTAAGCGTGTTTGCCAGTTACCCAAGCGGACAGAAGTTGGTGTAGATGCCATCATTTGCAATGCTTCTCTGTCATCCTCTGTACAATCATCTTCTCAACCCGCACCTGCAGATGGTCCACCTGCAGATGGTCAAATTAGTACTGTCACACCAAACTACTTGGAAAAAGTGTTTTCTCAGCGCTTAGAGGGCTGCCCTGGAGATGACCAGATTTGTGATTCTGGACAAGCATCTCCCCAACTAATTGGTGATTCACATGCTTATGATGATACTGAGGTTGAAACTGAAGTACCGGTTCAGATAAACCCATTTAATCATTCTGGGCAAAATTTGATGCCAAAACTTCAGGAGCTACTAAATAAGCTCAAGAATTCTTTGTCCAGCTCAGGGAAGACTGAAGATCATAAAAGGACGTAGCGGGAAGTGAAAAGGGAGAAGAAGAGTTAGCTAGGAACTGTATTTGATTCTTTTCTGTAAATGGTAGGTAAATACATGTACTATACAAAAAAATCAGTAACTAATCTTAACCAGTGGACTAGCTAATCTAGCTAACTAAAATCCTAGCTAGATTTTTTTTGTGTGCGCGCGCGCGCTCCAAAATCATTTTTTTTAACCCTGGATGCAAGTGGGTTTAGCCAAGTTATGCTATCTTCCACCTTGTTACAGTAAGTCCCTACTTTAATACTCACAAACCAAAGAGTGGAAAAATGATTATCTGGTAGGACATTTTCCGAGGAAAATATATTCTATGGAGAACTTCCACATTGGTTCAAAAAGGGGTCGTCTCGTGGTCTTAGACAGTCCTCGCCTCATGAGTTAGCTTATGAGGTTGAGTTAGGCGCAAGGTCCATTTTCTTAACCGTTAGTACATGCACAGTAGAATCAGTAAACTATAAAGCTTTATGATCATTATGCATATTGTTTCACTCCCAAAGGCTAAAGCCCTGATTCAAAATTTGAAAATAATCTACTCACTGAGTTTTGACTACAAATTGCTGCTACCAAACCACATTATACCAAGGAGAAAAATGTGACGCCCATGACGGAGGGCTGGCTGATGAGGGCGAGTCAAGTGGTAGACTTCTATGCTCGCAAGCTTCTGAAGAAGGGGCTTGGGTCGTGACAAAAAATGACCTTGGACACTAGAAGTTTGTTTACTTCTCTCTTGAATCTGTGCTGCTTGTACTACTATTGGACTCCCTTTCAGCATCATCTGATCTTCCATTTTGCTTCTCAGTCCTTAAAGTTTCTGGAATCAAAGGGTTACTACACAAATGACCATAGTACGAATATGGATTGACCGAAATGCAGCTTCCAGGGGCAATATATCTATAAGAAGAGGGGTAAGGACAGGTAGGGAACACATTACGTTGAGGCCAGTATACAAGAGGCACAACAGAATGTGGCGGATACATTGGAACAACAGGATATGAACATTGGTTATGGTAGGGAATATTGGACGCGGTATTAGCCATTACAGGCTTTGGCATATCTACTGGTGCTTGAGATGATGGAACTGCTATATTGATCTGACTTGGAGATGAGGCAAAATTCATTAATCCAAACGGCGCAGGAGTTGCAGAACATGAAGGTTCAGAATGTATAATTGTCGCTTTCTCTGAAGTTTTGCTCTTAGAGATTGCTTCCCTCTTGCTTTTCGATTTTGTTGATACTTTCTTCCCCTGTTGAGAATTGGGACTAATATTCTGGAATAACATGAATAATTCCATCAGAAAAAACCTCTTTAACAGAATAAGAAAGTGTTTTGTCTAAAATGTGAAAGTTAAAACTGAAAACTAAAGCAAGTTGACAGGTGAGGATTAACTTAAAGTCACAAACAATACATATCTTGCCTTGCTTTACGAGTTTCAAACTATGTAAACTTTGACCAACATTTTGAAATGCATGTTTTCATCATATTAACATGAGAAGAGTTTCAACTTATAGTACTTTTCATATAGTTTTTGAATATCTAAACTTTAACTTTAAAATATCGAGTCAATCTAATCCAATTTAGTTTCAAAGATTAGTCAAATTGACTCTCTAAAAGCGAAAAGATTCACATAAACTGGAATGTCGGGAGTAGTAATTTGATGTGTTGAGTTTTACTTTGCAGCAGAGTTACCACAAATATTGAAGAAAAAACCATGAGTTGCAGATCTTACAATAGTATCAGTTTCAGTATGTGATAGAAATAACTCCTCTCTTTTCGCATCCTCATCTGTCCTGCAAATGTTGAGACGATTTAAAACTCTTTTTATGTAGACGCGTTATAGGCTACTTGAAAATATACAAGAAAAACAAGCAATGCTGAATACCTGTAATACTTTTGTAGGAGATCCAATTTCTTATATTTGGTTTCTCTTTGAACCAGGTCATTAGGAAAGCCAGCCATGAAAAGAAGTGTAATTCCCAAGGCCTTAAAAAAGAAGCTTCCGCTGCGAATATGGACTAGCATTGCCATCCTACATATGGCCGGGCCAAACGATTTTAGCTTGTTTCTTCCCATTCGCTGCCTGACGTATCTGGAATTACAATGCATCAATTGTAAGTTAGCTATAGCCAATTTTCTGCTCACTTTGTAGTTTAACTATTATATACGTTGACAGTGTAAAGAATTTTTATCCTATCAGTGGTTACTGTGTCGTGCCTGATATGAAGAGTTACCTGATGTCGTAGATCAACTAAACCTAATAGTGTACAAGTTCTTTACACCGTCAGTACGCAAAACACAATCTCTATGCACTATTGTAACAAGGCATATAAGCAGTTCTTACCCATTTTGAGGAAGATTTCTTGTCTTTCCTCCATATTTGATGCATAGGAATAAGCACGACGGGCAGCTAGGATCAGACGGGCGCATGACCTTCTCCTCTTCAAGTATTCTAACAGGACACAAGTTTGGGTTCTGTCTGTTGGGATAGAATATCTTCCTCCGAACTCCAGGGTTATCGTATAACACGTGCTCCTGACACAGAATATATTAGTTCAGTTGAACTTTGAACCAAAACAGAACCATTTAGTCATAGGTACAAGAATTCAGGTAGCATACCCCCGGATTTTTTGAATCTGTATATTGTTCTCCCTTGTGTAAAATGCTAAAATGGTTGAAGTCTAATTCATACATATCCTCACACCCATGCCTTATACCAAGAGATGAAAAAACTAAGATTTTTCTTATAGTATGGGATTGAGCATTTTCCAATGAAAGCTCTTTTGATTCAAGTATTTTCTTTATTTCCTTTGGACAAAAAGCCACCTTTACAGACTTTTTATGTGAAAATGAACTTTCTTGTCTTCTGAACGGCGGATCACTTGCTTCACCAAGATTCTCTTTCAGTACTTGTTCTTTGATTTCCTTTTTGATATGCAAGTTCTTGACATTTTCTCTATCTGTACAGTCATTACAAGTGCCACTATCGTCGGATTCTTCATCGTTTTCATCTTCACTATCATCAGGGTCATTATCTGCAGCTGAATCGCTGTCTTTGGATCTTTCAAAATTCAGAAACTGAGTATCATCTATGCTAATCCAATTGACTAGGCATTTTTCCGTCTTGACGTCTTTGGTTAGAAAGATTTCAGTATGATCCTTCACTTCTGAGTCCATTTTTGGTGTTCTGTCCTCTTTAGTTTCAATGCATTCTGCTGCTTTTTGTCTTTTGAGCTTTCTGAAGTGCCTTTCTCCCATACTTTGACAACTGAACTGTGCTTATTAGGATCGAAATAATCAGGTGTCATGCGGAAGCTAACAAAGCATACTTTCAACAACGATAATCAGACAGCAAACGAGAAATATAACAAATGAGACACAAACATTTAACGTGGTTCAGTGAGTTGACCTACATCCATAGGCGGAGATGAGCAATCCACTACATAAAAAAGAGTGCAAAATATCGAGAGAATAATCTCACAAAGAGGCACACACAAGTGACCGGCTAACACTTGTCGGAATAAAGAGTTTACTCTTCTAACACAATATTCTTCAGTCATGAGAATGCATTGTCAGATGATTCAAACAGGAAACATAAAGAGGAAATTAGTAGTGCATTTCAAAACTGAAAGTCAGATCATTTCAAAAGTTAACATATTTCATTTCTCTACTATTCAGCATTGATCAT